AAGCTATGTCCTTGCCTGCTTCAATGGCAGCTACTGTAGGCTGAGGATTTTAACCAATAAAAGTACGTCAACTAGAGATATTCACAATGGCTGCTGTTCTAGTGAAATATATAAATGAAAAGGGAGATGAAAACAGCACACTGGCATATCGATGCACTCAAATCTCCAAAAGATAGATGAAAGAATTTCAATATTAGCTTTCCTCAAAATTTTCAGCAGTAAATGCATTACTTTACCTTTAGTCCTGCACAACCAACTATACCTGTAACTACAGTTACAGCATCTGGATGGCGAGCTACCTGAAAAGTTCCATTATCAGTAATAGTTTGCAAGAGAAAACCTTTGAAGAGTACGTAGGTAAACCGGGGCTGGTCAATAAAATACGTATACTTAAGGGTGTGACAGACTGCACTACACGCAGGCCTTAGAATAAGTGATTTATACTCAACACCCAGAGAGAGTCTGTCACATCACAAGTGGTCAAGTTCGATAAGCCAATCTAAGTATACCTAGTGTTATTCAACTTTAAATTCCATGCAATAGCACAAAGATGAGACACCTCAATAACTCCTTGTTCCCCTGGAATGATCTCAGGCTTCTCTTCCACATCAGATAGAGCCTCTTTGAGTTCATCAACTAGTGACTCATTCCTAACTGCAACCAATTGAGGCTTGAATGTCTTAATCTGTAAAATGCAGAAAAGAAAGTTAATCAAAGCTTCAATCCAAATCAGATTACAGAGATTTGAATCCATGCTATTCTTCAGTTTATTTCCACCCACTTACTTACAGAGAAGTGATGTTTAATCGCCAAGAAAATTGAGGGAGTCCAGATTACGTAGGTGAAGAATGGATTGTGTCATATTTTGTAGAACTTTAATCATTGAAAAGATTCAAAAATTGGCAGAGTGTCTAGTGTCATTAAATCTAGCAGATTTTACAGTCAAATAGTGTCACATTGAGCATGACATGGCAACAGATTATTTACCTGATCAGATAGAAGTGTAACATTTGATCCAGCTGCGAGAGCCACAACTCTGAATTGATTAGGGTTCTCTGCTACTATGTCCAAAGTCTGTAAAACACCCAATTCAGATTGCAACAAATGACAATGCAATCTGACTAGAGAAACTGACATCAATTCAGAAAACATATCCAGTTTATGGCAGTTCCTCAAGAACTTTGACTTAGTAGCAAATAAGGGTATCAACAAGGATCTTAATACAACTATGCTTTGAATTCTCAAAAAGAAAAATAAAAAGAAATCATGATATTCAAACCTGTGTCCCAATGGAACCAGTAGATCCAACAATAGAAATCGGCTTCGGGCCATCCCACGATTTACGATTTGTCTCGGGAACAGCTCGTCCGGGCCAGGCGGGTGGAGGTGGCTGTGCCGAACAATGAATTCTTCTCGTTCCCCAATCCTTCCTCTTCACCGTAAATGCACCTGAACATCAGACGGCAGAGAATGAAAATGTTTGTCCATTGTGCAAGCTCAGATTAAACCGTTCCATGAAGTTATAGTAATAGATTGCTTTCACTTGCACAAACTGCAAATAAACCATAAGTTTAATCATATAATACTTCTGTTTTCTACACCAAGTCGAGTGCTTATACATTGAAGACAGTTCCCACAAAAGGGAAAAGGATAAAATCTGAGAACATGGAAGTGAAAAATCGGATGAACATCCAAAACTGCCACGATTTTTCCAAGAAAAGTGAGCCTTTTATACCTTGGATAAAGTAAACAGACAACAACAGAGACCCAAAAGAATGAACTTTTGACACTTCTACACTCTTTTCCTGCTCAATGAGCAGGAGTAACGCCGTTTCCCTGGCTCAGGCCCGTTGAGATTCCTGAACGATCAAAAGCAAAGACTACCCGCAACTCCAATTACAAGAACAAAGACGAAACGGAACATCCTTGAATCAAATTTCATGCCTGCGTTTCAGAGAATTTAAGCAGCTGAAGCAGAAAGAACCTCTACCTGGCAGCTTATTGAGGTGGTGATGATTGGACTTTGTAGAATCCAAGAAAGAAACGGCCTTGATTTCAGTAGGAGACAGCAAATTAAGAGCCATCGAAAAACAAAAATGCCAAAACCGAAAGAAAAGGAGGGAACTTCAGAGGAAACGCGAAGCGAAAGAGTGAGCTAATGAAACGGGTGGTCTAGCAATCGCAGGTGGGCAACGTTTATAGGCCGAAAAACACCGAACATGCGCGCGTGGCTACGAAACAAGAAGTTGGGTCTTGGTCATGTTCTTCTGGGTGGGTCACTCTGCTGTCAACTGTGGTTTTTCTTTTAATGGCAAACAGGTAGTGGGGAAGGGCATAAAGACAAGTCAAGGATAAGACGCGAGGCGAATCAAGCTCATACGACGGTCATCAAGCGCCTTGAGTACCTTCCGATACTCTTGGTTGGTTCCTTAACTAATGGATGCTTATGAGCAAACGCTGTTTTTGTTCTTGTCCTGATCCAACCAGAGATTGTTGTTACGAGATTATACACATCTTGTCCCTTGCTCACCCATAATAGATTCCTCTCCTTAGCGTGTCCAAACTCTTTCCATTTTATGGTTTAACAAGTCCGGCGATGTAGAAAGTCTCTCTCTTTCTTGCTGTGAAATCTTTTTACCCTCCTCTCTCTCTCTCTCTCTCTCTCCAGGACTTAGCTGATCAGTTCAGCTGATGGTGATTGGTGACTCGAAAACGAAGGAAGTATTCAATTTCACGAGCGTCTCTGCGCAGCAAGGCAAGCACGCTTTGCACGCGGGCCAAGGAAAAATCAGTCCTTTTCCCCAAGTGGGGTTCGTGCTTCCGGTACCTTGAAAATTGAAACTTTCTTCGTTACACGTACTGAGAAAGTCATCAGCACGACCCCAGTTAAAACTGGGTCCATCGACATGAAGATATGCAAATCAATTCTTGAAGGGTGAGAAAGTTGCATGGATCTGCACTAAAACTTCGAATATATGTACATCCATGGTTGGTGCAGCTCCTCCAGCCGATTCAAATTTATGACTCCCGACACAAAATTAGATATGTAGGTTCTATTGCTTACGATTCAGATTCATGACTCCCAACACAAAATTAGATATGTAGGTCCTATTGCTTACGCACTTGTAACTGAGGCAGCTATTAGAAGCTCGGTAAACAATCTTTTAATCCTACGAAAGCATCATTTGTAGTGTTCGAGGCGGCTATAGAGCTTTAGTTCAGAAGAGTTTAGACCGAGCAGGTTTGCGATTGACATCGAATTATGATGAACAAAATTTAGCAAAATGGGTTTTCTTTAAAGTATATGGTGCTTAACATTGACAAGTTATTAGAGTTCACCGATTACTTTCATCCATGAAGACTTTTTATAAAAAAAGAAAATCGATAGATGATATCACGTGATATAAAGTTAAAGGCGCAATGAGATATGCGCGTCGCAACCCATCGTCATCGGGTTACCAACCCAATGGAAAAAGAAGATTTTCGAGTTGGATCTATACTGTTGCATGGCATAATTCGACCAAGATTGGCATCAACATTAAGCTCCTTGCTCAGTTCCAATAGATTCCCTCACAATGTGTCCAAACTCTTCCATAGATGGGTTGGTAATTTGGTGATAGAGAAAGGCTTTCTTCCTCGCATAATCCATAACCCTTTTTGTTCTTTTGTCTGGTATGTGGAACTGGCTGATAAATCCGGTTGATTATGACATGATGGATCATATGGGATTTGTTTTTTATTTTATCACGAAAGCGTGGGAAGCCGAATGCACAAACAACAATAAACGTGCCTCACGCCTACTTTGTCCGATTGTTTGAACTTAATCCTGTGGTTGGCAAAACACATTCACCACGCCCAAATAGAAAAGCGTGAATCTGAATTAACGTGTGTCCCACGTTGCATGAGCTTCTGAATTATTTTGTTCCTGTCTTCCAGCACGACCAGCAATTCATAAACTGCGAATTATATTTAGGGAAAAAGTCATCAAAAATCATAAATTATATCTGTTGTGACATATTTATCTTCAAAGTATTTTTGGTGACACAAAAAACTTTAAACTTGTACTTATGTGAAGCATTTACCCCAAATTTATACAAGTGTGACATATTTACTCCGAACTTTTTGTTGTGATACCAAAAAACCCTAAGCTTGTATCCATGTGACACATTTATCTCAAAATTTGGTGTAAACGTGTCACATCAATATAAACTTGGGGTTTTTAGTGTCACAAAAAAATAATTTATGATAAATGTGTCACACAAGCATAAGTTTGAGGGTTTCAATGTCATAAAAAAGGCTTGAAGTAAATGTATCACACGGATTTAAATTTGGGATATTTTGTATTACAAAAAAAGTTTGAGTTAAATATGTCACGAGTATAATTCAAGATTTTTTTTGGTAGCTTTTTCCCTTTATATTTATATGCACTCTCATCTCCCTTTTGCCTCTTGCTTGTGCATCCACGAGAGACACTTCACCTGTAGCGTACCGCATGAGAATAAGACAAGAGCCACTAGAAGATATGCATGAATTTAAAACGATCGCAACAGGTCACAAAGTCAACGTTACACGACGTGGAGGTTGCTAATTGAAATGAGCAAAGTTGGCCGGTGAATATATTAGCCTATATCCACTAAGGCACTACAAGAAACAGAAGCCAAATTTCCAACACGTAATCTCTTGGGGATCATGCTTTACATTTTAATATATAAAGCAATGCGAAGACCGATAGAACAACACCCATATGAGATGGAGAAGTTGGCATGAAGGTGGATAAAGAAGAATCTGATGCTACAGGTATTGGAAACAGTTCCATCACAGGCTTCAATGACCAAAGCAAAAATACAAATCAAAAGAACAATTGCAAGGCCAATCCCATCACTCACCCCAGTACGCAATTCAAAAGAATACCATGACCACAATGACTGCAAAATTTGCATGAATCACAGCTATATCCTGATGCACAACAATGCAACTTGAATCAAATAAAGAGGGCCATATTTAGTCTCGATCCCGGTGAGGGTGATCTCATTGGCTGGTTATGAAGATCATCCTAGTTATCTCGCATTTTAGGAACACGGGTCAAGATAACCAAGAACTGTGCCAAAATAACATTTCTCTGTACATGAATTACATCGTTATTGAGCCCAGCAGCAAGATTTATTATTCCAGGTCCCTGTCCAAACAAACTATCATATGATAACCTCTGCTGATATAGTGGTATGAGGTGTATACTTGATGCCACGATCACCTCAGCAGTTGTTCATGCATACTTGACTTGGGAAAAACAGACGACATGAGTAATGTTGAGTTCTCTTAGTAACTCTATTCCTGTTCCACCTGTATCTCACTTGAGTTCATTCCCGAGCTCATGTCACCGGTACTCTCTGCCCCTCCAGACTCGGAAAATTTTGTGACCTTCTGCAGTTCATCAGTTATATCAGAAGAGCGAGACGCTGTTTCATCAGAGGATTGTTCTTTCTGAGCGGCCGGTTTTGGGCGCCGAATGGCTTCTGCAGCTTCAGGCATGGCAATAGGTGGTGGCTGGGGTGGCACCCATGCACGCTGAACTGGTTGGTCACTGGTTTGGTAACCATGAGTACCGGTTTTCAAGTCCTCATCACGGTCAATTTCAGTAATTCTAACATTCTTCTTCTGCCACCAGGGTGCAGAAGCATCACCATTTGACTGGTCAACGATTCCATTGTCTTGAGCATTGTAATTCCAAGCTTCAGCACTCGATTGGTACTGATACACATTGCTCGAGTTGTTTTGGGTCTGACCGGCCGCCCAAGGCTACTCAAGGAATCAGGAAGAAAGTGATTAATCACTGAAGGTATCAATCAAAACCCAAGATTGTACACATATACACACGCTATAAACACATCAAGTATATGATTCAAAGTCCAGAATTTGCCCAAATATATATATTGATTCATACAGTCTCCATTGGCAGTGAATTATGATCGTAGTGAAAAAAGAAGGATCTGAAATTACTGATATGTGCACGAGAAAACAAACCTTAGCTCTTGGTGCTAAGCGAGGATTGGGTATCTGCTGATGAGGATTGGGGGGCGAATCATTGATGTCCTGTAAAATTAGGTTGACAGGGAAATGAGCCTGATGTTGCCTGGCAAAGTAACATCACGACAGATACTCAATTTACCTTTACATTTGGAGGTCGTTCCCCTCTTTGGACCATGGCCATAATCTGTCATGCAATACAGGATTTCAGAGGATGTCTTTCTAAAACTTAGGAACATGATGGATTACATGGAATAAAACAGGGGAGTTGCATTAATAATTTAATAAGCTTTAAAAACATATCACGAGTTGAGCAAAGTTGCCAATACAATAATTGCATCTTAAGAAATCTATTTTCATTCTCAGTCCTCCTCGCATTTCCTATTTGCTTATGTAGCCAGCAAAACTACTAATAGCTTATCCAATAAAGCTGACAGCTTTGAAAGGGTATTGGGAAGGCAAGAATACCTTCGAAAAATGAAAAACTGGGAAAAAAAAAGGATGATTTTACCTCCATATACGACTTTGGATGAGGTGCCGCAGAGGGTTCTGAAGATGCTGGAGGTGAAGAAGATCTCACTGTGGAAGAACAGTGGTCAAAGAATACGCATAATATTGAAGGTACTCATTCAAAAGAATAAAAAATAAAGGCACTCGCGCTCTTTTATATAACCACCTGAACGTGAATCAAATTCTGCCCTCCCGTTAGCATATGGCTGCTGCAAAATATAGTAGCTGTCAACTAACAGCTCATGTATGATAGCTCTAACACTAAAATAGGCAGTTAGTTTAGACTTCTTCGATATGATTAAGCATTTCCTTTTTGTGCTTTACTTTAACACACCTTCGAACTAGTGAGTGATCCTCTGTGATCTTCATGGTTGAACTGAGAAAGAGCACCCGTAGTGTTTGCATGTCCTGAGAATCACAGAGATATAAAAAAATGACATTTAAGTATTTTACTGTGTAACACGGGCACTATCTCCATTATGATATACAACAAATTGTCGTAACTGTTTGATCAAGTCTGACGGGAGAGAGAAACTTAGGACCATACAGGGATAAGGAATAATATTAGAATGAGATCACTTCCCAACTAGCATTAAAAACTATCAGTCTCCTAAACGGGGAAACACAAATGACACAGAAAATACTTGCTTTTGTAATATATATCTAGAAATAGAAAATAGCATGTTAAAAGGCAAAGCAAATTGCACAAGGAAAACTTGATTTTCCTTCATCTTAAATCTAAACTGACAATGTAGTTAGGGCAGAGAGGAGAGCATCTAGTTCCAGCATGAGGCTAACTGTCAAGCAACAGGAAGAGGAGTCCAAGCCAACCCCAGAAAAACGGTATGGTCCAAAAAATGGGAAAAGGAAACTCCAACAGAAAATAGTAGCAGTCTTTACTGCAAGTAATCCCAATCTTTTATCATGTATGGACATCTCCAACCGCCAGTTTTCTCCAATTTCTGGTAGGCATTTTAAACTGTGATATGCCAAGTAGAGCAATGACACGTTTAGTCAGAAAGTACATGTAATCTGGTTTATAATGAAGTTCACTTCAATCTTTACTGCTCAAGTACTTTGACCACAAACTGGCCAAAAAAAATACTTTGATCACACAACAAGTGGTCATCACCTTCTAACTTCCGGATAGCAGTACTCATTGACTTCATCTCCTGTACTTGGATGTCCAGCAGATTCACCAATTCCCCAAAGTACCTCCTCTCTAAAAGTTCGAAAGTTAAGAAAAATCTCACATGGTCAACATTGAAGAAACAAAAGACAGTACATTACCAAGCATCGAAGCAGATGTTTGTTGTAAAAGACAACTATTACATCTAAGTATTACCTTCAACTTTAGAGTTCAACATCTCCTGGCTGGCTTTTGCCACGTCTGCAGCTGCAGCTGCAGCTGCTTTTGCTGCAGCAGCAGTTTCCTCTTCCAAACTTGGTCCAGCGTTAGTTCTCTTGAGAGCATCATTTTCTTCATCCGATATAACCTTGCGCATCCAAGACTTGAACCTAGGAATTACAGCATTCTAAAACAGGGAAAAGTGTCACTGATACTGAATGAAAACTATATATGAAGAATATTGTGGGATCACAGTAAAAAGATAGACGAAGCTGTGATTTAATATCTAAATACTCTAATTTCTCCTCACGCATAGACTAAACTTTGGTCTAGGACCGAAGCATGGAAAGAATAATTGCGGAGATTTGTAGGACTGCTGTCAACTATTCCAAAAACTTAAACCGTCGGATGAAGATGAGATTTAGTATTTAAACACTCCAACATTTTCATACTATATACAGTTTTAATGCACAGTATACCCTGAAGTGCTAACATATGAAGCTTGGGCACTAATGCGTCAACTTTAAAAGTGTGACAAAGATGAGATTATCTCTTGATACCTTCAACAGGACAGCCGTTCCAGCACCAGACACTGCTAGAAAACCTATAGCATAAGCAGCATGGATCCAGCGAAATCTCGGTTGAGCTGTGGTGACCGCTGAGGATATAACACCAGCAGGAGCAGTAGCAGCAGGCTTCAGAGCTTGTGCTGAGGATTGGGGCTGAATGTTTGCTGAAGATTTCAACTGTGGATCTGTGATTACCATGGCACAGCATGACAAACCACCAATAATGCAAGTTTTTCCAAATTAAAAGAGGCCAATGACTTAGGCAGCCCCTTACCAAAAAAAAAAATGACTTAGGCAGCCAATTGTGTTCAAATTCCTAACCTGGACTAACATTTGCAGGCTGAGCACTTGGAGCTGAGTCCTGCAAAGTGCAAGTGAAAAAAAAATCAGGTTCTTTTCAATTGTTTTCCTGTTTCTCTCAACAGCAAGGGTTTGAAAACATGAGCCCTGCTATATTGTCTATAATAATTAGTGCCAAATTACTGAAATTGTGAATGTCCAGTAGGTTTATGAGTCTAGCCCATTTTCTCACCCTCAAAGTCAGTATACTTCACTGTACAATAACAAAGCAACTTCTAGAGATCATGATTAATAGGACATGAGATTGGCTTACTGGAACCCGCCGAAATGCTTCATCTATTTCCTCCTTGGTAAGACCTTTCCTTTCAAGGAAAGATCGTCGATAGATGACTGGAGAACCTTGAACTTTTGGGTGTGAGAGAAATTTGACAGCATTTTGCACCTGTTCCTCTCGTATCGGTTCTGAATTCACGAACACAGAAGGCGTAGAACTTGATTTAACATCATCTGCTGCTGCATTTTGGGGAGCTTCATTTGTACCTAAATTACAAAATTGCCATGATGACAATGCATGAATTCTCTAAACATCAACATGCACAAATTCTACACACATTTAACTTCAGGTTTGTCTAACGTATAAGATTACAGGCTTTATTATCTCCCACACCCATAACAACAAAAACAACAGCTAACTCTAATCCCACTAATTAAGGTTAGTTATGTGTATCTTTCCATACTATATGCCAAACAACAAAACTCGGCCCACAATCAACAGGTTAATTATGCTGTAAATCATTCTCAGACACACTCCAGGACAAAACAAATGACCATCCTGGTTAGAATGCATTCATGGAACTTCAAATTTGGAGGTTTCCTATATCTCTATTTTCAGGCCTCTTTCTGATTACACATGAGGCCTGATCAAGCTACACCGTCTCTTCAGTGCACCCAAATTTGAGAAACTCAGATACATTTCCATAGCTGCAACTTAATTTGTTCTTTTGATCCTATATAAAGCTTCTCTGATCACGAGGCTCTATTACGCATTCATCAAGATAGTTTATGTTTTTGACATTACTACGCAATTATACATCCCTATCTAATGCTTGCTCCAAAGGAAAAAATACAAAGCCTTGAAGAATGTAACAAAACGCATTGATAGGATAAAAGAACATTATGAAAAAAGAAAAGGATAAAAGGGCAGCAATGGTCCAACTTCACTGCAATTATAGCTACGAAATTTTTCAAACTGACTAGACCAAGACAGCAAGGAGGCCCTTCTTTGGTTTCTAAACAAATAACAACCTTGTCCGTAGGAGTACACGGGAGAAGAAGACGGACCACTTTTGTAGGGGAAAGAATCAGCGCGTGGCCACAGATGCCATAGCGAGACATCGGAGGCACTGACTGGAGATTTTGAAATTGTTCATAGCAACACCATCCAAAAAATTCTAGATTCCTATAGTTCGATTTATTGGAATTTGCAGTAAATGCTCCAGCTTTTGGGCCTAAACCAGGTATAGCTAGTCCACTCTAATTGCTAACGATGTTCGTCTTTTCACCCAATCCAAGAATAACAAGAAGCAAACTTATATGCCCACTAGGAGCCATTGCAACCGTCACTGAGCTATGGCCTAAATTTTGCTCCAGAGGACGACAACAACTGCAGTAAAACCCATAGGCCACTACCAAGAATCGATTCAACTCATCGCGAGATGGATTCGAATCTCCAAACTGAAACCAGCCCAGGACCAATTTGCAGCAATCAAGTTGCGATGCACCCATCGACTCAACATGAAGAAATGTCGCCCTCAGCTCGAACAGCATACAATTGGACTCCCCGCAGCGAAAAGCCGCGATAAGAACAACTGGGTCGCCACACAAAAAGACACCCAGTTGACCCAAAAACAAAAAGGACCCGACTGGAAGTACAAGAGAGAGCAAGAACCTGATTCTTGAGGCTTATCATCCGGGCCAGCCGCCATGTCCACCTCCTCCCACTAAAACACAGGATCAAGAAGAGAGACCCAGAAAAGAAAAACGGCAGAAAAATCAAACAAAAGCAGAAAAGGGGCGATGAATCTGCCGAACCCAGAAGCATATCATGTATGTACAAACGGGAAATCTGCCAGATGAATTCGTGGGGATGCCCGGGATGGGCTATACGTACAGAGAAGACGAAGGTGGTGGTGAGCCTGAGCCTGAGCCTGAGCCTGAGAGGTGGTGGATTTGTCGCTCGTCCCGAAGCGCGTGCGTTTTTGGCTCAGTGCCAGCGGCGCTACGACGCCCAAAACGACGGAGTAATGCCCCGATTTTCTCCTCTCTCTCGTCATTTTTTTCTCCCTCTCTCGGGAAAGTTTAACAGGTTGTCAAAGGGCAGTGGGCCGGCAATTAATCTTACGAACGATAATCATTCTATTTTTATTTTTTTATTTTAAAAATAAGTTTAGAATAAAAATCTGTTTAATAACGTAATTTTAATTTTTTAATTTCTTGAGTAAATTTTGAATTCAGAAATAGATTTGAAATAGAAATAGAGTAAAAAAATTTTACTTTTCTATTTTTAGAACAAAAATGATAAAAATTCTTCTCATCGCTCGCTCTCGCTACTAGCCGGTCGCTCACCCACCGCCCATCGCCAACCACTTGCTGACCGCTGCCTCCCGCCGTTCGCCGACTCCTACTGCCGCTCGCCATCCTCCCGCCGTCGCCGCTCTCCTCCTGCCGCCGCCCCTCTCTCGCCGCTTGTCGTCGCCCGCCTTCTGCCACTGCCCGACGCCAACCGTCTCCAGCTGCCATCCTCCGCACTGGTCGTGTCGCCGTCCGCCACCGCCTTCCCCCATTGTCCGCCGCATGCTGTTCGCTGCCACCGTCCGCCTTCCTCCTACCGCCTCCCCCCTCTCGCCGCCACCCCCCTCTCGCCGCAGGCCGTCGCGTGCCTCTCGCCGCTACCCGATGCTGGCCACCTCTAACCGCCGTCCTCCACACTAGTCGCCTCATTGTCCGCCGCCGCCTCCCCCCACCGTCCGCTGCCCGCCGTTCACTGCCACCGTCCGCTGCTCGCCGCCATCTGCCCATGGTCCACTCGCCGGTCACCAAACAAGGAGAAATTTTGTGCCGTTATCATACAAATTTTTATTTCGAGAACATAAATTTTGTGTCATTATCAAACGTGCTTTTTTGCTCAGAAACTCGTCCAGGAACAGAAACAGAAAAAATTCTGCCCAAAAATTGATTTTTGAAACAAAATGGTTGTCATTTGCAGCCTCATTGAGCAGATTTGTATACACCTCGTCTAATATGTTTATACTAAGTTAAACTATTGGGAAGTGTAAGGGAAATTTTCAAATAAGGGTTTGAAGTGCTTTCATTTTCTCAAATAAGAGTCTAAAGTGGATCATCTCTCAAATAATGGCCTAAAGTGGCTTATTAGTCTTAAATAAGGGTCTGAAGTGGCTTATTAGTCTTAAATAAAGACTTTTGGCCAGGTAATAACTATCCGACGTCAGAGAAGGGGCATTTTAGTCAAAAAAAATTTAAATATATTTTTTACTTTCTTTTTCTTTTTCTTTTCGTTTCCTTCCTTTTTTTCCTTCTTCCTTTTTTCTTTTTCTCTCTTCCCACCTATGGCCATCGCCGGCGACCTCCGCCGACCGTGGGTTGCCCTCGCCGGCAATGGGCGAGTGTTGCCTTGCCTGGCCTGGGTGAGTGAGGGTGGTCCTCGCCTGAGTCCGGCGATCTCCAACGGCGACCGATGGAGAAAAGAAGGCAAAGAAAAATATAGAAAAAGGAAAAAAGAAAGAAAAAAAGGAAAAAAAAAAAGGTAAATGCCGAAAATGCCCTTCAGCCAGCAAGTTCAAGCCTTTATTTGAGACAATATTCACTTCAGACCCTTATTTGAGAAAACGGTAGCACTTCGGACTCTCGTTTGAAACAAGATCCACTTTAGACCATTATTCGAGAAAACGAAGGCACTTCAGGCCCTTATTTAGAATATTTCCGAAGTTTAATGCATTTAGTTTAATGAGAAAGGCCTTACCTTTTTCCAATTAAAAGTTCAAAAGCTTTTATAAATAGTAGTGGAGACTTTACTAAGTTGAATACATGTGGTGGACAAAAAATTAATTCAAAATATATGTTAATCTGTCGTGAGTGAGTCGTGATTCATCATACATGTAAAGTTAAATTTTATTAGGCTATGCATAATAGTATCTACGGCTTTAATTTTTCCATTTGGCATCATTTTGGCTATTTTCTGCCCGTCGAGAAAATATTAGATGGGACTTGCCAACTCATTGATAAGATACTCTAGCCAAAGCGCGACACGTGTCATTTGGGTCTCACCTATTGGAAATTTTTGAAACTCCCTCTTCTCTCTTTCTCCACTACTCTTAGCCCTCCCTCTTCACGTTATCTCTCCTCTCACTCTCGCTTCGCTTCACGACCTCTGCTCTCTATCTCTCCCTGCCTCTTCACGATATAAAGCTCCCTCATTTCATATTTAATCCAGAATTTCGTCTACGTTTATTAAGTAGTACTGCTCTGAGAAGGACGATGAGAGGGACTTATACAAGGGTGATGATGATGAGATGTTGGAGAACGAAGGACTCGAAAAAGGCAAATCAAACACAACTGTCTTCGGCAACAGCTTTGGTTTGGGATTTTTTTAACAATACATAAATTAATTTTGGATAAATGCGTAATGAATATATCAGTTTATGAGTTTTTATGATATAAAAATTAATTAGGAGTAAATATGACTCGATAGTACGAATTTGAGATTTTCAGTGCTAGACCCTACTGGACCAATCATTCAAAAGTTCAATGGCATGCATAACTTCACATCTTCGAGGCTAGTCAACAATCAAAGACGAGATGGATGGATGAGGTTTTGTCGCCGATCACATGCACCCTATCTTCTTCTATTTTTATTTTTTTTTTGGTAAGGTAAGATGTATATTGACTTTTTGACGCACCACTTACAAAGAGGGGATAGTCGAACACAAAAACCTCGTACCCAATGGGACACCAATGGTGTTCCAACGGGTAAAAGGTGTGCGACTATGCATAGCTAAATGCGATCTAAGTGGAACAAAAGAGAGCCAAAACAATGGCTAAGGGAGAACAAGAGCAACAAACAATCTAAAAGGAAGATCACTCAAAGATTGTTGATGGATGCCCCAGTTGTTTTGGATTCTCCGGTTGCGGGGAGTGTCTTCCACGGGCTTAAAGGACAACCCTCTATCTCTTGTGACCTTTATAAGGTGGTTACGAATAGCCGGCAAGGAGAGATTCTTGTTTCTGACTATTCATACCTTTTTTTTTTGACAATTTCTACTCATTTCTTTGGGAGAGTCGCAATCACATGATTTTTCTAGCAGAATGCAAAGAATATCCACAAAAAATTATCGAATCTCGATCATGTTCCTAAGTGATTCGCGACGGGCTTTAAACCATTTGGTCCATTGATTTTTAGTACATCGTACAGTCAATCAACTAGTTAAGATGAACCTATTGCGATTTATGTTCCGTTTGTTCCACAAAAATTGAATGATTTAGAAAAAAAAATTAAAAAACAATCGCTTACATCGCTAGAAATAATTAGTCTCTACTATGGAGGGAGAGAGAGAGATTAGGGTTTTGCATGGAGAAAGAGAGAGCCCTAAGGAGCAAAGAGAGAGTTTTAGGTTGGGTCTAAGTATAACAATCCAACTCATTAAATACGGGTTTAAGACATGGCTATATGATCCATTTTGACATATCAATGGTTGATAACTGATGCCGAACTCATGTTGAGAATCAACCTATGCATGTCGATCGGTGCGCGTATAGAGATTAGAGTTTGATTGGTCTGGAATGATGGCATCCCATACAATTATTGGGCTCAAATTAACTGTGACGATTAGGTGCATACATTTAGTCTTCATTTTTAAGATAAATTAAAAACTCCAAAAAAATTATTAATCGAACAATCGCATTTCTTCACCCCTTTATTTGCTGCCTTTCGAAAACTCGAGTGGCAACTTTCCATTAATTTTCTATTTTTAAAAAATATTGGAAATGAATTATCAATAAGATTTTTATCTACTAATTAATCCATTTATTTAAAAAATAATAATAAAAGGGTCGCACTTTTTCCACTCCATTTTTTGAGTTTTAACCATATTATCCCTTGTGCGACTCACCACTTATGATACAACTCTACAAAAGTAATTTTTTTTTATTATTTGATCAAATCTTTTTTTTTCTTCTGTAGGTCCCACTTTCCTTGTTCCTTTCCCTGATAGTTCTATGCACTTACAAATCGTCTTTTTGTTTCTTCTCCTGCAAGCCATTCCCTTTTTCGTGCACCTCCTACTCCTTCTTCTTCTACAAATGTCTCCTCCATATGTAATCCCCCAAAAAAATTGTTTACTTAAAGAATCCGCTCCCTCCTCATTCACTATCTGAGGTACGGTTTTGGTTGTTCAAAATCAAGTTCAACTCTACACACAACTACAGTTTAGAGCTAAAAGCAACCGCTGCAACACAAATGAAAAAACAAACGCGGCATTTTGGTAGTGTGTTCCAAGAAACTAATCTTTGAAAAACCATTTTTTATTTCAACACTCGGACACGGCCCTGAATCTATAATCAAATTAAATCACTAATTCAAATCTCGATTCATATTACCTAAAAAAACACAACTCGCCTATTGTCTTTCACTTTTATGCCTGCACATGGTGGAGACACATTTTCTTTCTCTACACTCACATGTGCAAGTAGAGGAGAGAAAAATATAAAAAAAAGAAGATAGAGAAAGCAGTGCTTCTCAATATTACCAAGAAAAGCCTGCGTGCTGCGGAGAAAACGGGCTCGTTGGGAAGGTCGTCGGTGTGTCCATTGCCGGTGCTAGCGAAAGTGTGAAGGACGACGAGGTTGACATCATAAATAGAAAACAAAGGACAAGGTTTGCGGGATTGGGAGACGTCGAAAGAAGAGAATGGCTTGTAAGAAAGAAACAGAGCGACCATTTGCAAGAGCAGAAAAGACGTCAAAGGCATGGAAAGAAAGAAAGAACAACGAAAGTGAGACCGGCAAGGAAAAAAAAGAAGAAACAAAATAAAAAAGTTGATAACTTTTGCAGAGTTGTACCATAAGTGGTGGGCTCCGCAAGAGACAATATTGGAGTATCTAAGCTAAAAGATGAGTGAAAAAAGCGCGACCCTATAAAATGTTCAAGTTGTGTTTGCTTAGTCTTGTCAACTCAACGATAAGACAAGTCGCTTAGAATGCTACACGTATTTATTGGTCCCACTTATCAAAAAAAATTTAAACTCCCTCTTTTCTCTCTCCGTTGCTCTTTAGCTGCCCCCCTTCATATTATCTCTA